GCACCGCATCCAGGAAACCGTGAGGAAGAAGCTGAAGATTGTGGCCAGAACGTGCCTGTGCGGCAGCCAACACCGTGGCAGCGCCATGACAAACGCCATGAAGAGTGACCTCCCTGACGTGATTCAGGATGTCATACAGGTGAACTATTAGGACGACACCTCTGGCATTGACAAAACCTGCCGCGTACTCCGCAGCTAGTTGAAGGCTCTCCAGTTGGGCGGACAGATCTAAAAGGTTCAAGAGAGAGATGATCAGAATCCTGAAGGTGAAATTGAAAGGAAACGAAGGTTATGATATCTCACCCATAATTCTGGCCTCGGCTTTGGCCAATTTGTCATCCACTGAATCGGCCATGGGAGGCGATCGGCATCGAGCCACAGCTAGGGTTGATTCTGCGAGACCCTAGCCGTGATTATTGATGGTGGTGAGCAGGTCATCATTGCCAATCTACCGCCTCGGGTAGCAAGGAGGCTAGCGATGAGCTATCGACGAGGAAGACCCCAAAGGCCGAACGGAGTCGGCCCTATAACCTGAAGCAGTGGGCACATCATGGGCTACACCCTCTTGACAATGAAGGCGCTGGCGTGATGATGCAGATCCATCAGGAGCCCCCTCCATAGACCTTTTGTTGTTCTCCATGATCTCAAGCTTACGAAAAAAGCAGGGACTATGCTGAGGGTGCCGAGGGATTGAGACGAAAGCGGGTTGTTGCTCGACCCTCAGGCGTAGCCCGTATATATAGCCCGGGGAGATAGAATCGGTTCCGCCAGAGGTATGGAATTAAAATCAAAGACGAAATGGATCGACTCCAGGAATTCAGGGGACGGATAATGGAGAGGCAACAGATTCAAACTTATCGCTTCCCTAAGTTATGAAGCATCGTGGGACGGATACAAAGAATTTGCATGGATCAGAAATCAACCCACCAAGGCTTCTTTTGGATTGAAGGGAGTCCGGACCCCCACAAGGCCAAAGATCATCATAAACCAAGTTACATCGGCCCATTAATAAGATTATACCAAAGAAAGGGAAAAGCCGCCTGACTGGCAGATACACAACCGATTTCTCTGTGACTGGGAAAACCGCTGGAAAGAAACTTGTGGTTTTCCCGATAGGCATTTGATGGAACGAACAAGGGAAAAGTGCCCACATACTCTAGCCCTTGCAAACACTAGAACAGCTCTGCGAGCCTGGTAAGAAGACGCAGGCGATATCACAAGACTTCTTCTAGCTGCAGCAGCTGATTCTTTTGCTCGACAAGGTGCTAGAGTGAGCGACACAATCACCCTACGCACAAGAATTCTTCTAACCGCTCAAGATCTTTTATTGCAAAGAGATAGGCCATGGAGGGTCTAGTGGAGTTGGGAGCACTCGGAAAGACGGATGGAAGAGAAACATGGTTGAAGTAATGAGTTGCTCTCGCCAGGGTCGGTTAAGCATTTTATAGCCGGCTCGGGAAGATGAATCCAAATGCCCGTGAAACAGTGGTGCTCTTGCAAAAGTTTTGGGGCATAGGCTCGTGAATGGACACAAGCGGTGACGGATAGTGGACCCCAGATCAAGGTTCTCTACCCGTGACTGTGGACCAATCAGGGATGCAGATAGGATAATTTTGGAATAAAACTACTTTTATCCAAAATTGGGGGCATGTGTTTACACTAGAATTTGGAAGAAGGATTTCAGAGGCTCAAAAACTCCCAAAACCATGTTAGCGAGGAATCAATTGCGTGTAGATCGAAAATAGCTGATTCAGATATAGAACTAGAATCGACTTTCTTCAGATAGCGCCAATGGATAACGACAGAAGATATGATCAGCGCTGGGACGAGGCATGCTGGACTCTACAAAAAGGGAAAGATTAGAGTCCAAGTTATCTTAAATTAGGAATATTTTCATTTTTATGCCAATGATTGTAATAAATCGTGCTAGAGTAGGATTTATGTTTAGACTCCGGGTATAAATATCAAACCCCGGCTATTGTAAGGGAGAACGAATCAATCAAATACAAGTCAATTACTTTTTTGTCTCCGGCCACCCCTTAGGAGTAGGAGTAGAGTAGATCTCGGTGAGTTCTTCAGCAACTATGGCTGCATCGATCCGGTCGACCTCCACTGCTTGTTGTAAGTACCGTCATGGTTTATACCTCTGTTTGTATGGCTGCATCGATCCGGTCGACCCCCACTGCGGCTCTGGTATAAGCTAGTTATCGACTCTTGCCTAATTCAAGTATGGCCTGTGTGATTTTGCCTCACACCCCACTGCTTGAATTAGATCAAGGTCAAGTCATCGGCTCTACCTTAGTATGGCAGTCTTTGGTAGATTCATTAAGTTACCGGTATTGGTTATTGCTTTCATTGTTTATCTAATTACAACAATATCACTCTGCTCGATTGAGATTGATCTGGATCGGCCTTGCATCTTGTTTAACTCATCGTTTGCTAATCTAAAACTGATCTAATCTACATCTTAAGCGATGAGTTATGTTTTTATCGGCTGTTTTGCATCAATCTTAATCATGCATAGCGTGCGGTTAAGGCATGTTCGACCTTGAGTAGATCTATCGGTTAGCGAGAACAGTTTCATGGCCCGTTATCACGGCCTTTGGGATTCTGCCTCTCACCCCACTGTTAGCACCATGGAGCGGAGATCGTTAGTTGGTAGATCCATTCTGGAGAAGGCATGACCTTAATTGTGCGCTATGCCTGAATCAGCTATTTAGCCGATATCGAGTGCTTTCACGAGCAGCTCACATCATGAGACCATTGAAGCAGAGATAAGTTGAAAGATATGTTGGCCCCATGATCTTGTTATTGTATTACGGCCTGCATGATTCTGCCTCATGCCCTACTGATATTAGTAATGAGTTAGGGTCGTCGAGTCTATTGTTGTTTCTACGACCTACATGATTCTGCCTCATGCCCCACTGGTCATGGCGATAGATGAGATCTAACATGTTCATTAGATTTATCTTTATTAGATGGTTAAGTGGTGTTGAATTGTTTCTTTATACAAACAGGAGTTCGGTTACTTGTATTGATTGGCTCAGCATAAATCGACCATCATCGATATCTTATTGCCATTGATTAATGTTTGTTCAAGTCATATTTATTCTGAATGATAATCGATTCTTCTTACACAACCCCATAAGCTTTAACCGATTTATTCTTTTGAATATGCTGGAATCGACTATTTAGTTGATCTCCTCTCATATCGGCTCTCAGAGCCGCACATTCGGGACTGTCTGGCAACACCAGCATGTTCCACCCTTAATTACTGATAAACTTTCTCTCCTTGTTAATTGCAGGGTCAAATTAACTGGCACGTCTCGGGAGGATTGTGCATGATCGACCGCCCTTGCACTGAAGCTAGGCAGATCTGCTCCATCGAGCGGACCCTTCAGGCTTGCCACGTATGTCCTCGGCATGGGGCGAAATTCTATGTCGATAGGAGGTTCATAGGTTCAGGAGATATACAGTAAACACTGACCTAACAGAAGGCGAAGAAGAATTTACATGCATATATGCAAAATTCAGCAAAAAATGGGATACTCTGCTCTCATATCCTAAAAATAGTCCTTGAAAAGGAAATCAGTACAATTCCAGACAAATACTTCTTAGACAGGTGGAGAAAAAAAGGATATGAAGGTACATGTTGAAAGACAATAAGAAGAAACAGTTACAACAAGCTCATTGTTGAGATTCAACATATTATCCAGGAAGTCAACAATCCTGAATTCAAAAGGATCAAAAAATGAGGAAGCCATGGAATAGCTTATGGCAGAATTTGACAAGATGGAAATCAATTTAAATATAATGTTATCTGCTCAACAAACAGGTGAAGCACAAAATGACCAGCAAGGAAATGAAGGAGAAACTATAGCAGCACAAGCAGAAGATCCATAGACTGAAATAGATAATTTAGAAAGAATTCAGAGAAAGGGAAGGGCACCTAAACCTATCAGAATGAAGACACATATAGAAGAAATAAAGAAGAAACTTGTGGCAGCAGAAAAAAAGAAAAAGAAGAAAACAAATGACACAGAGACAGTGCAGGTAAAAAATTTGAGTACATACAAATAGAATTTCAGTACATACAAATAGAAATTGAATCAAAATTCAAAAATTCTTATTTATGTGAACTAATAATGTTTTATAGGCTCCCCGGTGAAGCCAAAAAGAAAGAAAAGGAAGGAAATATCAAATGGTAGCATTGATCACCAAGCAACAGAACATTGAGGACATGGTAATCAAAGATGATCAACAGAAGGAAAGCAAAATTTATCAATCAGTAGGAGGGATACAGTCAAATTCAATGACCAATTAATTTATATAATTTGTTTAATAAATAAGATGTTACATTCTTAAATTAAATTATGCCTAGAACTACAATTGCATATGCTGAGAACTAAAATTGTAGTGCCCAGTAGCTGCAAATTACATTGTTGATGATTCAATTGTGTAACCGAATGTTTTATTTGTCTCAGAGGACAAAAAATTGGTGTGTGCTGTCACAAATCACAAAAAATAAACTTCAATATGTGTTAGCACAAATCACATTAAATAATTTTTTTTCTATATAAGGACAAGGACAAAAATGAAATGTGCATTGGCACAAATTAGAATTATCAAAGTTCATGAAGTGTTAGCACAAATCACAGAAGACAATTTTTTTCTATAAAAGGACAAGGACAAAAACTTGGTGTATGTTGGCACAAATCACAAAAAATGATTTCAACATGTTTTAGCACAGATCACAAGAGATAATTTTTTTCTATGAAAGGACAAGGACAAAAAAGAGGTGTGTGTTGACACAAATCAAAATAAACAGATTCGAAAATGTGCTAGCACAAATCACAAATGATATTGACTTGTAATCACTTGTCAGAAAGACTAATATTGACCTATATACATAGTTCACTACAAATAATATACAGTCACACAGAACAAGTAAATGGAAGAACACATACCAAACTATATAACTTCAGGAAAAAGCAACTTCCTCAAACAGGTTGCTGCTCCTGATAAGAGTTCCACCTCTGAGGGTGAACTTCCACCATTGGTAACTGAAAACAACCAAATATTTACAACAAGTAATGGGAGAAAGCATGTGTCAATACAACATACAACACATTCAGTAAAGTATATCATGCTCAAACTAAAAAAACATAATGCATGTAAGATCACTAACCGGATCAGACCGTCATCTTTACAAGAACAAGAGGGACCTCCACAACCTCAAGCTTGTCCTTGTCTTCGCTATCAAAGGTTACTACACTGACACATTATGGACAAAAAAGACACACTAACACAGAAGGACATAAACTTAGAATAATGGTAAAAAAAACAGTTAACATCAAGCATCCAAACAAACCATCCAACCAAATATTATCATCCACTTTAGTTTATCCTCTTGACTGTAGATTAATATTTACAACCATTTGAGCACCAACTATTCTCATCAACGTAGCTGCTTCTTTATAAAGTACCATGCACTCATAGCATGAACCTACACACTACATGATACAAAGCTAAACACAAGATCTAAACACAACACGTAGGTCATGCTCTCTTATAGTACTGTTTGTAGACTTGAGAAAAAAATATTAGAAATAACTATCAATTGAGTACATGATGGAACAATACACAAAGTGACATTGCAACTAGTATTACCTCAGCATCATATTTCATCACTTTAGATCGACCATCATCAGAACTATTGTATTCATTGAAAATCATGTCATTGACGTACTTGATACGAAGATGCCCAATATCAGCTTCCAAAAACTTGTCCATCAAATAGACATTTAGCTCCCAAAGCTCTAGATTCTTCATCGCAAAGATACCACTATCATTGCTAAAGCTGAAACAAAATATGAGAAAGACAAGATAGAATATTATAAGCACCACACAAAATGATATGATCTAAAAATAAAAAAGATTGTACATTACCTACTTCTTAGTCTGCTGAGGTACATCTGCATAGATAACTTCATATCCATGGAACCCAAAGTCAATTTGAACAACTTCACTCCAGATTGTAGTCAAGTTTGGTATCTAAAAGAAGGTAGAGGAAATAATTAGAGTGCAGATATATATTTTTTCTTATTTGAACAAAATTTCACATTGCATTCAAAGAAAATGATGTGAATCCATGTGCTACTGCTACTTACAAATTCATCACGGATAGTTTTATGGAAATGTGAGTCTGCTCCAAAATGTAGAGTATAGGAATCCAAGATTACAATCAATCTTTGAGTGATATACACAACAACCACATACCACCGATCATGGAAGAGAATTAGAAAATAAAGCTGACAAAATAACATAAAATGAAAAAAGAAGGGATTATTAGCACAACTACAATGCACACAACATATGTGCTAAAGCTTAAAAAAATTAAAAGGATGTGTTACTCACATATTGGTTGTATGCTAATGACCTTGCATGACCAGCACCCTTAAAGTATTTCACTACATTATCATATAGCTCCTTCTCCTTGCTATCATTAGGACCGTGATTTCCAATAAAATAGTCCTACAAAAACAAATTGGTTAATATTATTTTTTTGATATAGTTACCACATGTAATTGAGAAAAAAAAAATAAATGACACTTACACCAACTTTAGAGAAGAAATAATGCTTGTAAGAATTCTTAGGGTGTTTCCTATGGAATAACAATCTGCACAAAGCATTCACTACAAAGTAATAGACCCTTCCTTGAGGCTTAAGAGAACTTGCAAGTGCACTTAATTTCACAGCCACTTGCTCATAATCGATTACTGCAAGACTGAAACAAATGAAAACATTTCATAATTACTTGATTCAAGTGTACTCATGAGTGGTGAAAACGCTAAGGAGGTTGTAAACATTTAAAACTTACTAGGAATGTTTAGTTTCCGCCATCTTCAAAACAACCTCATATACGTCAGTTTGAAGTCTGGACACTGTTATCTTCGAATGAGGCATCATAAAGGGGCTCAACTTGTATTTGCTTGGGATCACTGTCCTCCTAGGACGATGAACAACCAACTTTGCACTAGAAGAGTACCAATGACCTTGGTTTGAAAAGGATTCAGAGTTGTCTGATAAACCATTGATTCCCATACTTTTTTGCAGAAACAGAAGTCCCACCTCGATGGGATGGAAGAGGTGTAGGTAACTGCAAAATCAGGGAAAAAACATAAAGTTGTTCGAAAATCATAAAGTAAAAATTGACATAATAAGGTTCATACTTGTTGACACAAAATGTGACGCACGCGTCACACTTTACAATAAAGTCAAAAGCGTAAGCTTCAATCGGTGCCCGGGTGCTTCGTGATCCGAACGCGTGCGGTCGGTTTGACCTCGAAAGAAACCGACAAGGGATAAAACGATTAAATGTCAAACCGAACATGTCGGGTGAGACCGAACATAGCTCCGATATACGCCCTCGGCCACTTACAACGACATACGACTATAGGAAGTCAGTCTCGCCAACAAGTTTATAAATCATTCTACTAATCGTAAGATGGACATACGTAAAGATCTGATTGCGAATGCATATGCATGGGAAGACATGTTTGAACAAGTGAAATTGATTACGCGTTAATGCATATCCAAGCTCAAAGAATCCAAATTTTGTTGGGGTCCATGAAGAAGGAACGTGTAGATAAACATGATTAAGCCAATCTAAAACTCAAATGTCGCATTTACGACACCTAGTTTCGTCAAAAAACTTAAACGTGATTAACATACATGAACCCACAACATGTGACAATCTAGATTAAAATAATTTGGCCATTACGAGCATGTTATCTATTTGCAAAGGTATTATGAAAGTAATGATCATTGAAGCTCGAATAAAACCATAGAAGAAGGCCGAACAATATCAATCTAGATTGGGCAAAAGTGTGTTACAAATATATAAAATATTTAAAACATGCAACACAGGATAACTTGATGAATCTATTTAGATTTTGCCGTAATCTAATAGAGCCGATAACCTGCCTTGCTTCCACTAAGCATATTGAGCAAACGCTCACGCATCAGTATCTACTCATAAACAAAGTATAAGCGAAGACTTCTTGATTGTCAAGCAAAGATCCGCCGCATACGATCATTGAAAACAAACAAGACTACTTGCATCACGTTTAAATCCACCGCATGATACTAAACATGATAACAAGGTTGTCGGAACTTACGGAGGTCGACGGATCGATGACTCCTCTCGAAGAACTCGACGACACGACAAAAGGACTCGAAAGTTGGCACGGGGCCGGTTGTATTGATTTGGTTGTGAACGCCTATTACAATGGTCGAGGGTCAATATTTATACCCTAGACGAAACACGAGTCCTAAAAGACTACGATTTACAAAGGAACTCTTTAAATAAACTTGGAAACTACGATTCCTTGCCCCAAACTCTCGAGTCCTTTATTATTACAACTTTCATCTTCTCGATCGGCTTTGCTTGCCATCTTCTCGCTTTCCCGAATGGAGTTACCGCCTTCCAGAATAACCGACCGCACAAGCATTTAGCCGACCGCTTGCGTTATTTGCCGAACACTCTTCTTCCCGCATGTGGGTCCACCCGTCATCTTCCAGAATTGACCAAAATCCAGTGTTAACACATGCCCCCTCAATTTCAGGATAAAAGTTGTTTTATTCTGAAATTGACCACAAGCTCTTTCATCCTCCTAGGTCATCACCGTTCAAAACCGCAGCCGCTGCCCAAAATTTCAATCTTTCAAATAGTAACTTCAACCTCCTCTAAATCTTCAATGGCGACCCAGATGAAATCCCAGAGGTAAATTATTTATATTCGCAACTTTCATCCCATCCTTCCGCTCCTCTTTTGACTTATTCCCTCTGATTTCAATCATCTTCTAAAGGAGTACAAGAGCCAGATTTTGATCCCTTACGCCGCCAACCCCGACTCCTATTTCCTTGGCCCAATGGGAAACCCCGATCCTTCAAATCATTGAGAAGGAAACTCAAAGAATTCCTTTCAAGTCCGGAATTACCTCACCAAACCGATGGCCAAACACGTTCAAGAATTGGCCATTCCCCCAATCACCGGATGGCGCAAATCGGTACAGAGAATGTTGGAGAAGAGCAGCAGCCCTTTGGGACAGTCGGGACATCATCATTGTCCGGAGTTATCTTTAGCGAGACACCTGTGAATGATTCCCTTCGATAGCGACTTCTCATTTTTGGTCCGACGCTACAAATGCCTTTATCTTCGCCATGGTATTATGACCATCACTCTAGCCGACGATATACATGATGACCGGTTTGAATGTGTCATTGCACAGATATCCTTATAAGTACAAGAGCAAGAGTAATCAAAGAGCCGTTAGTTCGGATGTGGATGGGTCAAACATATTCGTAATTACATGAATGCATCCGCTCCGCCTCTCGACAAAGAGTTGAAAGCTTTCATGAATATGTGGCTATGCGATTCATTTTTGTGGAAAATCCAATGAACCAACCCCTGAATCACATGGTAATGGTGAAGACTTAGCCACGAGGCACCCGGATCCCATTAGGCAAATATCTTTTAGGGTCTCCATTATCATATGATGCATCGGATCACCCTTCAGATGCTAGTGTGAACGGCCCCGGTGGCTAATTCAAATGTGGCTCCAACTATATATGCATCGAGATAACCCCCGTGAGGCTCTTCAACCTAAGCTTCCCTCGCTTAACTATCTCAAGGCAAGACAAAGAAAGGTTAAAGCTTGTCGACTTATGGGGAAGCAAAGAGCATCTATAAGCATTGATATAGACATTGGTCACCTCTTCAAGCTATTTTTCAAAGGATTGACAATGTGCTCGTTTTCCTTACGAGGAAAATGAAGATCCGACTTTGCCCTCGCAAGTTTAGCTATGAAATTGGTTGTTCGTGCCAAGAATCCACGAGATTTTCAACTCCTTTATCAAACCTTGCACTTTGCCACCGAATTTCATCATGGGAGATTAGTACAATCCACCTATGAGTTCTATTATCCCAACATGGTAGCCAGACAATTAGGATGCGCCAAACGCCCCCCCAAAATTCCTCTTCTCAACAATCATAAAATCAAGGAAGCAATAATGTAGGAATGGAAGCCAAGAAGGTCTTTGAATTAGGATGGGAATTACCAATATATGAACCATCTCCATTTGGGCTAATAGATGCTGCTCATCCCTCTTTGTCTCTTGGTGGCAAGAATGGCATGCTCATATCTTCAATATAGCAGTTCATTCTTTATGCAAAAACTTGCAACCCGATTTTGCTTCCGATGGTGGAGGTAATTTCATTATGCCCATCATTTCTTATTCTTGAATCCACTTCTTATTTTAACATCCGGTTATGCACGAGGATCTTGAGTTTACTTCCCACCTTAAAAGCAATTCAAGACTATCCTATTTGGTCCCAAACTCCGCTCTGGGGTTTGATGCTCCAAATTTAAAGGAATTCATGAAAACTTCGCAACTTTGGATTCAAAGACCTCTAAAGGCACTCATAAGAACTCCTTTTCTTCACCAACATCTTCCAGAGGAAAAAGCAAAAGGAAAACACCAAAGTTTTCTCTTACCCAAGAAACCAAGGACCAAGAAAGCCAGATTATCCCTTAAGGCATGAACCTTCTGCTTTCTTATCAGTTAACCATTTCATTTGGCAAGAAGCCCTGACTATCTCTACATTCATTCCTTCCACTCGCAGCCACAAGTCGAAATTCCCATACGGGTAATACCTCGGCATTTGTAGAACCAACCCCCTGAAGTCTCTCATGAAGATGAAGAAATTCATGATAGCGAAATTTCGAGAGACCCATGAAGTCAAGGTTCAAAGGCTCATAAACCTGATGAGACTATAGGTAACATTGCTCAACCAATTCTCCTCTCCTTTCTCTTTAACAACATCTATCTCTTATGCTCATTATCACTTACTTTATCGAAAATAGATGAGATCTTAGATGAACTGCAAGGGAAACTTCTCTGATCAATCTCCAGATCCGTCTCCTCCGAACCTTCAATCAAGTCCTCCAAAGAAGCTGGTATAACTCATCCCGATGACCAATCACCCCAACAGTAACGCCTTGTCTCATACTATATTTTTTAGCAAAATTACCCAATCGGCTAACACCTTCTTTCTTTCTCTTTGTTTAGAAGAACATCACTAAACCGACCACCCGCCTCCTTCTCTATTGAGGACTACATTATTGAGAAAGGTGAAGAGATCACTTCTCATCAAACTTTGTCACCGGAGAATCGTGCTCGGCTAAAAGAAGTGATTATTCTACCGAATAAGGATACCATTAGTCCGGTTCGTAATGCGCACTGCATAAAAAGACCTCCTTGAACTCATTGATCAAGATATCCTTCGCTCTCAAAGCTCCCTAGAATCTGCAACCCATCTTGATGATCACTTTGCTATGGTGAAAAGGGCAACCAAGAACATATCTTCGAGGGCCGCTCTGCAGAAGGATAGATCTTTGAAAAAAGCTGGAGATTAAAGATCTTCACTCTCATATCCGATTCACGAGAAATTCTTTAGCAACCTTGGAGCCCGAATCGAGATCCATGGAGGATGAAAAAATCGACTTGAAGCTCAACTAGCCGAACCAAATGCCAAAATTCAGTCTCACAGGCCCATATAGCCAATCTGCCAAGAACATAGAAGCAACTTCACTAAAGATAGCTTCACCATCAAAGAAGACCAGCAGATCAAAAATAAATTGTCCAAAGATCCGAGTTCAAGATGAAGATCAAAAGGTGCTAGATAATGTTAGCCAATCAGATCAAGCCATAGAAGCGATCAATCATCTTCTGAACCAGTAGACATTAGGCTTGTAATAAACTTTAAGTGTGATACCCTTTTTTCCTTGATTAAACAACTTTATGTCCACTTATTTTCATCCGTTCGGAAAAAAGCAATC